TGTCTCTGTGTGATTCCTTCTTCACCGACTCTGTTCACACCTTTGGGGACCCCTGGACCTGCTGGGGTCGGACCCCAGCACTGAAAGAGCCATAGAGGGCAAGAGCAGACAAATATAAACCCCTAGACCAGTGAGCTTCTCAGGCACCCAGAGCTTTGTTACTTCTGCTATAATAAACTTCGATTCCCTTTGCTTACCCTCCCTTGCCTGGGAATTCATTTGTCAATTTCTCGAGCCTCATGTCTCACTACCATTCAACTCAATTCTGACACTATCTGCCCAGAGATGGCATCAGATTCCACAGGTAAAGTACTCAGTCCCACAAGACTGCCCTCCACATCAGATGCCAATTGCTCATCCAGATTGTACCTGTGCTTCTGACCCACTGGTTATCAATCAGAAGTTCCCACAACCCCCTTCTTGAGTTCAGTTAACTTGCTAAAGAGGCTCACAGAACTCAGAGGAACATTTTACTTATAAGATCACCAGTTTATTATAAAAGATACGTAACTCAAGAACAGCTATCTAAGAAAGGCCACCGAGTTTCCAGGCCCTCTCCAGCCACACTACCCTCCCAGCACCTCCATGTGTTCACCAGCTCAGAAGCTCTCCAAACCCGGTCCGTTGGGGCTTTTATGGAGGCTTCACTGCACAGACATAATTTATTAAATCATTGGCCATTGGTGATTGATTTAACCTCTAACTCCTCTCCCTTCCTTGAAGAACAGGGTGGGTAAGACGGAAAGTTCCAACCCTACTAGTATAATCACATGGTTGATTCCTCTGAAAACCAGCCCCCATCCTTAGGTGCTTTCCCAAAGTCACTTCATCCATGACCACCCAATTGTAGTGGAAAGGGTTATCTTAAGTATTAAGACACCTATTTCACTTTTATGGTTCTGAAGGAATTTCAGGAACTAAGGTCAAGACACCAAATATAAGAAAAGGTGCTCCCATAGATCTTATTGCTCAGGAAATTCCAAGAGTTTTCAGAGCTGTTTCCAGGAATTGTAGACAAACACCAACTACATGTGAGAAATATATTTGGGTCATCTGAATGGTCAAATATATGTTTCTTTTAAATCACAACATCACACATTTTTCTTTTTTGATCTCTTTGTGCTTTCTCTTGATAATTCTCTCACATTTATCCTGTGGGGGTTAAAAATATTAATACTTTTCCTCCCACCTTCTAAGTTCTTCTGGCTGGGCTAATAACCAAATTAACAGAGACAGATTAACAGGAGAAAATCAAAGTTTAATACATGTGCATGGGGAATTCACGTAGACACATTAATTCCATGAAAATTCCAAAAACAGTAGTGAAGCATTAGGTACATAAGACATTTTTAGACAAAGGGGGGAAACGAAGCGAGGGGGAACAGGGTAATAGATTTCAAAAGTGAAAATGGGCAATTTATAGGGAGAGCAGAACACACAGGGCAGTAAAATCCTTGCTAGGAAACTCAGAAACAATGGCACACAGTGGGTATCTAGCTAACAGGCACGGCCTGAGCCCTCTTGTGGTTTTGGTTTTTGGTTTTGTTTTGCTTTGGGGTTTTTTTGTTTGTTTGGTTGGTTGTTTTTTTCCCTCTTGTAAAGGATACTTAATTCAAGTTAGGCTAAGGCAAACATCCTAACATCTTTTGCCTGAAGCAGGTTTCTCTGTCTGAATCTTTCAGGCAGGAAACAGGGGGAGGGTCAACAGTTCTTTCTCAATCTTTTGTTTCTTAATAAACAAGCTTAAAACCAATATCCTGCAAACTAGCTTCAGGGTGGCAGAATTTAGGTCCCTTCAGTCTGGCCTCTGGAGCTTTAAATAATAAAATTTCACATTCTAGAAGCTAAGTTGGTATATTGCCCCATATTTCATTGATTCAATCAATCAGTCCTATGAATACGTCAGTTCAGTTAAATTGTTGCGTCTCATTTCAGGAGGCAGTGATGCACCTAACCTCCCAAATCAAGACCTATATTCTATAAGCAAGCAATCAGGTAGTCAACCAGGGGTATGTCTATGAAAACAAGAAAAAAGGCTAATTATAAACAACTAGAAGCCCAATGCATGATCTTTGTGCAAAAGTAGGCCTTCACAGCCGGGGGCAGCTGCCTGGATCCCTCCCACCCAGCCACAGTGTCTGCCTTGATCCCCCGGCTGCCTTGCTCCTTCGATCCTGCGGCTGCAGCCCTGGCTTCTTCCTGGAAGAACATCTCGTCTAATTAGCATATTATGCTTTTATTATAGATTTCTGAGTCTCTAAGGCTGTCAGTGGAGAAGATATCTAGATGTTTCTGTTTCTTTTGCTGGGATGAAGGCAGGCAGTGACTATCTGATTCTCCTGGTCTGCAATTTGAATGTCTCTGGTGATATCATCAGGTTCTCAGGAAAATTCTGCATGGCTTACACAACATTAGTCACTGAGATTGTTTAAGCATGAGCAATTGTGGCAGTTTCTCAAGTTTATGTCATGTCCTTTAGCTGCAAGACTCAGAGAAAAATGTTTTAGTTCTCATTAATTCCAAGTCAAAGGATGAGAGAAAAATGCAACAGTAGTTCAAAGGGTTATAGCCAAATATTTAAGAAAACTAGAAAGATTCAGGATCCAGTCCAGATTATAGGTAAAACAAAACAAAACAAAAAAAACTTTAAAGATAACTGACTGAACTACAATCTAATATCCACAACTATATATTTCATTTCTATTGAAACATAATTTCCCCCTAATTTTTATCAATGATAGCCAAATTAAGACTAATTTATTTATTGCATAAGTACAGTTTCAATAATTTTGGCTTGATTATTTTCATAAACAAAATAAGATTAACAGTTGAGGAGAAACCAAGATGGCAGCATAGGTAAACACCGGAGATTGCTGCCTCGAACAACCACTTCAAAAATACAACTAAAAGACATAACGGACATCATCCAGAACCACAGGACGCTGGCTGAGTGGAATTTCTACAACTAGAAGGAAAGAGAAAAGCATACCTAGACTCAGAGGAGGTGCGGTGCTGAAGTAAATACAAAGGTGCGGAGGTGCATGCGGAGAGAGCTGGCAGCTGAGGACACGATTGTCTTTTTCAATCAGGAGGGAGTCTCAGGCTCTGCGCTACAGTTCTGGGTGAGTCTTTGGGGACCCAGACTCACACGGGGGAAACAGGACTGTCTGGCATCGGTCGGAACTCGAGGGCAGCTTTCTCTCGGAGGCACTCTCACGATTGCCAGGACCTCTGAAGGCAGG